CTGTAGTCCCAGTTACTTGGGAGGCTGAGGCAAGAGAATTGCTTAAGCCCAAGAGTTTAAGGTTGCTATGAGCTATGATGTCATAGCACTCTATAGAGGGCAACATAGTGAGACTCTGTCTCAAAAAACAAACAAACAAAAAAACAGAATTTCTAATTTTTCCTTCTCCAGAAAAGTCTTTAGTAAAATTTTTTTAAAAAGTAATAATTTCTAATTCTGGCTTGGCACCTGTAGCTCAGCAGCTACAGCACCAGCCACAGGGCTGGCAGGTTCAAACCTGGCCTGGATCTGCCAAACAATAATGACAACTACAACAAAAAAATAGCCAGGCATTGTGGCAGGCACCTGTAGTCCTAACTTGGGAGGCTGAGGCAAGAGAATGTCTTAAGCCCAAGAGTTGGAGGTTGCTGTGATTTGTGAGCCCATGGCACTCTATCGAGGGCAACATAATGAGACTCTGTCTCAAAAAAAAAAAAAAAAGAATTTATAATTCTGTGAACAATTTCTCTTATGAACTATGAATCCACCAATTAACATGCTTCTAGAAGATTATACACCAAAAAGAAGAAAAATAACATCTATGAAAAATTTATATGTGCCAGGTACCAGTTTAGGAATTTTATGTTTTAATACTTACAAAAGCCTTGTGTGTGTAAGGTAGGGATTATTTTCCTCATTTTACAATACATAGAACCTTGTCTAAGGTCATAGAACTCTTAGTGGCACGGCCAGGATCTGACTCTAAGTCTGCCTAAGGACAATGCTCACCATACCCTTCAATAGCAGTGAGTGAAAGGTCTAATTAAGCACCTACTTATTTGGGATCTCCAGCTTATTTCATGGAGACCTGCAGTTCTTTGAATGAATGCATTAGTTTCCTAGAGCTGCTGTACCAAAGCACCACAAACTAGGTGGCTTAACACAGAGAAATACATTTTCTCATGGTTTTCAAGACTAGAATTCCAAAATCAAGATGTTGTCAGGGTTAATTCCTTGTGGAGGCTCAGAGGGAAATTCTGTTCCATGTCTTTCTCCCAGCTTCTAGTGGTGTCTAGCAATCCCTGGTGTCCCATGGCTTGTGGCTGTATCATTCCAATCTCTGCCTGTATTGTCACATTTTTTTTTTTTTTGAGACAGAGTCTCACTATGTCACCCTCAGTAGAGCGCTGTGGCATCACAGCTCACAGCAAATTCAACCTCTTGGGCTTAAGCGATTCTCCTGCCTCAGCCTCCCAAGTACCTGGGATCACAGGTGCCTGCCACAATGCCTGGCTATTTTTTTGTTGTAGTTGTCATCGCTGTTTGGCAGGCCTAGGCCAGGTTTGAACGCGCCAGCCTTAGTGTATATGGCCAGTGCCATAACCACAGTGCAACGGGCACCGAGGTATTACGTGGTATTATTTCCTTTTTTGTGTTTCCTCCTATTCCTGTAAGGGCACTAGTCATACTTAGATGTCCTTAGTGCAGTCATAACTCTGCATTCCAGCTTTGCAATAGAGTAAGACCCTGCCTTTTTATTTGTTTGTTTGTTTAAGTCAGAGTCTCACTCTACAATCTTGGGTAGAATGCCATGGTATCATCATAGCTCACAGCAACCTCAGACTCCTGGGTTTGAGCAATCCTCTTGCCTCAGCCTTCTAAGTAGCTGGGACTATAGGTGTGTACCACCATGACTGGCCAGTTTTTTCTGTTTTTACTATAGATGGGGTCCCACTTTTGCTCAAGCTGGTAGACCCTGCCTCTTAAAAAAAAAAGCTGGGAAGGCAAGACATTAGTAATAAATCAGTAGTACAGAATATTTTCATTGTTGGCTGGGCATTGGAGTTCAGGAGTTGGAGACCAGCCTGAGCAAGAGCAAGACTCCATCTCTAAAAAATAGCCAGGAGTTGTGGCAGGCACCTATAGTCTCAGATACTTGGGAGGCTGAGGAAAGACGATCACTTGAGCCCAGAGATTGAGAGGTTGAGGTTATTGTGACAAAGTGAGACTTTGTCTCAAAAAAAAAAAAAAAA